TTTTACCTGCTATGTGTTTAAAAAAGGACTTCTTGTTATCTTTGATCTGGGTCACTAGTCCCAGTTCTGTTTCTGCCTTAGTCTTGCTAACAGCCCCCCTACAATCTCGGGCAATGGAGGTATAATCCTCCTTTGGGGATGGCCCCTCCCTTCCATTGTCTGTATGCCTTCTTTTTAGCTTTGAGACATTCCTGGATGCTTTTGGTGAGCCATGGGGGATTTTGAGCACTCTTGCCCCCTTTAATCCGCATTGGGATTGTCACCCTTTGGGCTTGGAGGATCGTCTCCTTAAGAAACAACTACTCTTCTTGGACTCCCAACTACCATCCCCTCTGGGACCTCAGTGCCTCCCTGACTAGTCTCCTTACTTCAAGCCCTCTGGAAAGAATGGGAGCCCCCCTGGGAGACTATAAAGGCCACAGAGATCTACTGACAGGTGTTCCAGTGTTACCTGCAGCTGTCTCAGTGGCTAGCCAGTGATAAGGTGTAGGCAATCCAACATCACCAGAAGGAGTGGTATGATACCAAAGCTAAGCTGAGGGAGTTTAGGAAGGGCCAGAAGGTCCTGGTCTTGTTACCCATTTCAAAAGTAAAGTCCTTACTCAGTGGTAGGGACCTTTTGAAATTATTTGGCGGGTAGGCCCTGTGGATTACAAAGTCCTTCACATGGGGCACCACTGGGAGAGGCAGATATATCATGTGAATCTCCTCATAGAGTGGCAAGAGCAAGGGGGCCACCTGGCTCTAGCAGAAGAAAAAAACAATGAATTGGGCCCTCAGTGCCACCCCAAAGGGGAAAAGATAGTGGTGGAAGAAAGGGTAAGAATGGATGAAGGGTTAACCTCACTTCAGAAGAGGAAGATGATATCCCTGGCCCAAGCCTACTGAGACATCTTCTGGGATGAGCCAGGGTGGGTCTGAGGTGTCCAACATGAAATCTGTACCCTGAATGGGTAGTGGTGTGAGAATGGTGATGGGCAGTATCACACCACCTACTTGACAAGGTGCATAAAGATCTCAGGAGGATGCTAGAGCAGAGACTGATCTAGCCTTCATGGAGCCCCTGGCAGAGCCTACTGGATCCTGTACCCAAACTGGATGGCACCCTCCACCTGCATGTCAATTGATCCGGGTAGTGAGGGCTGGCCCTGGGCTCCAGACACAGGGTACATCCAGCTATTGGAGTGGTGCAGCCTATGCAGGCAGTGAGTTCACTTTCATCTTCTCTCATTTCCTCTGCTGAGATGATGCATTGAGCTCTTTGATAAAGGGCAGTTTCAGGAGCTCTCCTGTCCATCCAGGATTACAACTGTCTGGGTAAGGATCTAAGTAAATCTCTGTGTCAGAATGTAACAAGAGTGGCCTGTAGGTACATGAGCTGTGTCTGGTCCTGTTCATACCCTGTTGTGTAGGGGTGTGTCTGCCAGGGTCCTGGGTTGGGGATGCAGCTGCTCTAGGGAGCTGTAAGGGCTTCAGTAAGTGGGGTTTGCATTTTGGTACCAAAACTTCGGGGCAAAGCCTCAGGTGCTGCTAAATTCCTTTCCCTCTTGGCTATAAAGCTTACATCCCTGTGGCCTGTTGGTGTTCAGTGCTGGGGAGAGCTGCTCTTCCAGAAGCTTCTCTGTGTGGGGACAGGCTGGATTCCTCCAAAAACCATAGGTCATATTTTTAAGTACAGTGTTATGTTTCTGTGGATTTTCAGGGTCCATGCTTAACCTCAGGCTTTTGTGTTTTGAATCTAGCCTCCTCCATAGTTATGGCTCCATTTTCTGATTGCATTTCCTGCTTGTGGGACTGTGTCTCCTCTGCTATCAATGTTGTGGGTTATTTCTCATCAGATGGAGCACTTTATGCTGGAAAGAGTCCAAAGGAAGGCCACATGAATGATTAGAGGTCTGATGAACAGGCCATAGAAGGAGAGGTTGTGGGACTTGGGACTGTTCAGCCTGGAGAAGAGAAGACTCAGAGGGGACTTAGTGGCAGCCCTTAAGTATGTAAGGGGAGAACATCAAGGGCTAGGAGAACACCTGTTCACTAAGGTATCCCACGGGAAGACTAGGAATAATGCTCATAAACTGGTAGAGGATTGCTTCAGATTAGACATTAGGAAAAACTTCTTTACGGTTTGTGTCCCCAGAATCTGGAACAGACTTCCCCCAGACTTCCCTGGGGATCTTCAAAAGACAACTGGGTGCACATCTCGCTAGAGTCATCTGACCTCAGCAGTCTTTCCTGCCTTGAGCAGGGGGGCTGGACCTGATGATCTTGGAGGTCCCTTCCAGCCCCTAGCATCTATGAATCAGAACATAATTTACTCCATCTTGTTTGTATTCAGATGCCTTTAGATCAGGTTCCAGCCATTATTGCTGAGATGTTCATGTAATTGGAGGACTTCAGGTGCTGGGGGGTTGGAGAAAAAATCTAGTATCAAGATTTTCATAATACAATGATTATAATTAGTAACAGCAAAATCAAGAAGATTGTCAATGTTTCTGCTCTGCCCTACAAGGTGAGTTGCAGTGTATGCCAGGGTGGTCTGTCACCCGAAGGAGGGCCAGTCAGCTGTGTGAAGAAAGCCCAGATGTGGGGCATCTGGCTAAGGAGGGCTGTCTCAGTGGAACATGAAAAACTAGTTATTCAGGGAGAAAGTACTAGAGTGGGAGAGGTTGGTAAGAACCTGGCCAAGGAGTGGGGAGACAAGAGTGGGGGCTGCTTGCAAGCAGCCCTATCAGGGACAAACCCATGTGGGGGCCCTGGCCATGTGTGTCAGCCATTGGATTGGAAGGTGTTGCTCTTCCCAATCTGTTCATTCAGCTCCCCCAGCTGTACACTACCAAAACCAAAGCAACAAATATGCCTGAACAACAAGTGTTCAGAGAGGGCTTTTTAGCCCAGCTGTTTTTCTGTGTGGGACTGAAGGTATTAAAAGAGCAGGAGTCATATTTGGAACAGGTCTTCTGTCCACCGACAGACGTGGCAGTGTTGCCCCGTGGGGTCAGGCCAACCCTCAGGATCCCAATATTGCACTGTTAGACAGTGGGGTTTGGTGTACAATTGCACATGCACACACTAAAAAAAAAACAATTAGGTGCATGCACACACACTAGGCGCATACACACACTCTAGGTGCATGCATCCCCACCGGTTGTGCGCATACACACTACCAATCCAGGCACATACACATCCAAAATTACCAGCCTACACAAATGCATGCCTATCACCAATTACAGCACCTACACACACTATACAGACCAAAAGAAATTAGACCAGAATCAATTACCAATACCTGCACACTCAATACACATACAGGGATCACTGATTTGTATATCATGCACACAATGACATACAAACCACTCACCTACACATACACACAGGTGAGTTCCTAACTTGGGTGTTGTGGTGTTTATGTATGTGCTTGGTGTACCTGGGGGAAGGTTAAGGTAAGAGAGAGTGTAAGTGTAGGGGGTGAAAGTTGCTGGGGCCAGGATTAGAACCAGTAGACTAGAGAGAGAGCTGGGCTGAGGAGCTGAAGCTTGGGGTTGCTTAGGTTACTGCTGGTAGAGACTGAGATGAAAGTTACTGGTGCCAGGATTAGAACTGGCAGACTGGAGTGGAGTTGGGGTAACTTAAGGTTAATTGAAAGCAGAAAGCCAGCAGAGCAAAGGAGCAATGCCAGGGAGAAGCCTGGAGGCTGAAGCTGGAGCAAGGAGGCTACAGGGGAGCCAAGAGGTACATGGGAAGAGGAAAACTGGGAGTGGGGCTGTGGGGAGGAGGAGGCTGGAGAACACAGAGAGAGAGAAAGTGTAGGCAGTGGGAGAAAGGGATTGGGAAGAGGTGGCAAGAGGAACAAAGTGCCTGGAACAGGTCTGAGAGTCTGCAGAAAGCAATGGGGCTGAACAGAGAGGAGGCAAAAAGTGGTGGAGACAGGGCTGAGAGCAAAGAGGAAAAGAGACAGAGGCTGGAATTTAAGATAGGCAAGGGGCGAGGGATCATTAAACCACAACCCAACTTGGGGTACCAATGACAATGGTTTTATTGAACAGGGGAGATGGTGACACAATATTTTATTGGTTCCTTTGCGCGCACACACAGACACAGACACACACTCAGATAATGGCAGCAGGGGTTAAAGAGGCTTGGTGCAGGGACTGAAGTCCGGGAGGAGAGAGATAGAGTCCAAATTGAAGGAGGAAATATGTCAGTGATATCTACTTATCCCAGGCTGAAAGTGGGTCCTCGATGGCCAGTCAGGGTCTCTTTCAGCTTGGTGTTGTCTAGAGGGGGTTGCCAACATGGCCTCTGGGGTGGATAGGTGGTGTGGCATGGTGCTGGTCCAGATGGAAATGGCGTTCCCAAGGAGTCAGTCTTCACTACCCCTTTTTATGGGGCAGACTACCTCTGATCTCCTATGGGGAGGGCCTGCTCAGTCAAGGTCAGTCCTGTCCCAGAGGGCTCCAAGTGTTTTTAGTGAGCATGTGCAGCCTGGCACAATGATGGTTTGCCTCATCTTTTGTTTCTTGAATGCTGCAGGTGGTTCCAATGGCTGGGTCCTTGGTTCCGGTATTGGTGTTGATAGTTCGATAATTCAGAGGGAGCTATTTTTAGACCTACTTCTATTGTCTCTCAAGCACCCTCATTCATCCCCATTCATTCAGGAACCAAGTTACATAGGAGGGGTAGGTGTGAGTCATAGATTACACAACGGGGCATGGGGAAAACATGGAGGCTTGACATTACAAGATGGAAACTTGACATGACTTATGCTAACTTACATATTTAGGCCTAAAACAGTAATCACACAATATAAAAGCGGGGGGGGGGGG